TTAGGACTGGGAGATCAAAGGAATATGCCCACAAAATGTGAAGGGGGGGGGAAAGGTTCTGGGTCCTGTGTTGTTTGAGTCAGTTTAGCCTTGGTCCCTATCAGCAATGGGGAAATTCCCTGACTCTGCAGGTGAGTGCCAGCGGAGCAGGTTCAGTGACATGCCTGAAGCCACTTGGGACTACTAGGACAGAGTAAATAATTGAAGCCGGACCCGCTGTTGGCTTCACAAAGCAAAAATCCTTTTTGAAAGCCTCTGGCTTCCCTTGTGGCTTGAGTATCTTGAAATGAAGCTCACCTTCTCACCAGAAGAGGCGAAGGGCTCTACATGTTCTCTCTGCAGCAGCCAAAACCCACTATCTTTCCTACTTCTGCCAGAAGTAATAAGTAAATAAATAAAAGTACCCCCTCCTACATCTGCAATCACCGTGGCTTTCCAGCTCCTATTATCCCAATTATGTAAAGCCTTTGGAGAGGGGCTGCTGGATCAGACAGACTGTGTCACGTCAGGTCGTGCTGAAACCCATATTCCTAGAATGACTCCTGAGAACTGCCCCCATGGGTGACGCCGAAGGTCTGCCCTGCTGTGTGGCTTCCTGCTGACAACGACCAGAGGCTGTAGCCTTGGGAAAGGTGCTGCAGAAACCAGGGCAGTGCTGTCTGATCTTTCCCTGCGCTGTATCCTTTCCCTGGTTTATAGTAAAGCTGTGGCTGCGCAGCTTTTTCCCCCGTTGTTCATGTGGAGCGGTTCATCCGAGGTGAACGGAGCGGTGCCAGGAGCCGGCCCTCGGCCCCTGCTTTGCAGGGTAGCATCTCGGATCAAAGGAATAAATCTATCTGCTTTAAGAAACCCTGGCCCTCTGGTCTCCTGGGAAGTTGAGCAGCCACTGGAATTTGTCTTGGAGTTTTACTGAAAAAGTACTCGGTCTGTCTTTCCGTCTCGGCGTCTGTAGTTTTTTTTCTTTCTGGTGGGAGAGACTGGGGTTTTTTTAGCTGTGTTGAAAGCATGTAACTGTAGTAACTCCACCACCCTCCTTTGGGAAAGACAAATATTATTACACGGTGGGAAATGCGAAGCAGATTGTGACTTGAAGGGCTCTGAATCACTGCTGGTGGGGAAGAAGCTCCCAGCCCTTTTCAGGGTCTCTGGCCCTAAGTGTTTTCTTATTTTTATGAAGCCTGTTTATCGATATGTTTTTAAGGGCTGAATACAGGAGCTCCCATTGCTTTTCAGCTTTGGGCTGTGTAGAAAGCTTTTGCCTTTTATGTCCATCACTGCTGTCCCACGGTCCGTCCAGCAGACTCTGTACCGAACCCGAACATGAGCAACAGCCCTGAGTAAGTCAGTATTTAATGTGGGGGCTGAAGCAGCTATTGTCAAAGAAACAGAATGCCTAAATGGGGAAGGGAATGTCACTGTCACACCTCTGAGGGCTGTCTTCACTAACGGGAAAAGTGTGCTTTTGGATGCGTTAGCTCATCCTTTAAATATCCCTCTGTAAACAAGGAGAGATTTATTTTTAGCATAATCACTGGTGGAAGTGAATCCTGGATCCTCTGCTCCCTCCCCATCCTCCCTGTTAGGATTCACTGGAGGTGCTTTTAGCAGCTGAATTGTGATCTGTGCTTAGTGATAGTTCACTGTGGTTTCTTCTCTCCCCTTCACCACTCCCTGTAGGACAGAAATGCTGTAAGCTGACCTTTCTAACCTTTATTTTCTCCTTCTCTGTATATGTGGACAACCTCTCTTTTTAACGTCCCGGTTGGAGCAGATATATCACAATCTTGCTGCAGGGTGATGGAGCTGTGACCCTGCAAACTGCCGATAACGCTGGGCCTGATGCTTGATGCTGAAAAGCCTCCAAGCCCAGGAACGCTGTGTCTTTCTAATTAGATCCACCATATCTGCCCCAAACAGGATGGGGTGGAGGGACCCTAGGACAGGGGGTTATGTCTGGGGGAGGTGGTGGGGCAGGTCTGTCAGCACGGTTCCTTGTCACTTGCTTTTGGCTGGGTGCCAAGGCAGCTCAGCCAAAACCCAGCTCGTGCTGTCCTGTGACCTGTGTGAGAGCCCACGGGGGTGTCCTTCCCAATGAAGGACAGCTCTGGGTCATTTCGGTCTCACCCATCCCAAGTGCCCAGATAACCCCAAAGGGGTTTGAAAGGCATGATATCTGAAATTCTGTATTCACTTCTGCCTTTCGTTCTTGTAGGATAATAGGTACTTTTCTTTGCGAGGATGTCCAACTCTCTCATTTCTGCAGACTTTAAATGCTCTTGTATGGAGATGACACTAGATCAGAGTGGTTTGGGAGGGATGGGGAGCCGGTGATCCTGAAAGCAGGCATCGTATCCTGGGATGCTGCAGTGGGGCTGGCTTTGCTCTTCCCTGCCTAAAGGTGCCCTACAAGCAGCCTTTAGCTGGGCGATAGATGCACACTTAAATCCTCTCAGCCTGGTGCCTGTTGCTGTCGAGCTGTGGCCGTTGTGGGCTCTCCCACCCCTCTGAATGAATGATGCAACTCGTGTCCCTTCTTGCCTGTGGGAGCTCTGAGTCACTGGAACTCCTGTCCCTCTCGCCGCTCGCTCGAGCGGGAACCCAAAGTCTAATCATTGCTGTTGGACCCAGATACTGCTGTCCCTGAAGACCGAGGCTCCCTGAAGCCAGCCCGTGGGTACGTCTGAGCCTGTTCATGCCCATATGTTCTGGGAAGGCTATTCCCAGCTCTGCTGTGGGCTCCATGTGCTCCCTGAACTCTTACTAGTGCAGTTCTTTCTCACAGGTGGGGCAGGACGCAGGGTGGCAGTGAGGCAGTGAGACCCTTCAAATGCCCAAATACTCCTTCCTCCTCCCGTGGTTTTATTTCTCAGTTTGCAGTTTATCCTGCCCTTCCTGGGAGGCTGCAGGAACCTGCCTTTGCTCCAAGCTGGTGAGATGGGAGCAGCTTTGCCATGTGGTCCTGCCGCAAGCTGGGGAGCAAAGGAAGGCAGTGCTGATCCCGTGTGACCATCTCATGTCAGAGGTGGGCTAGTGAGTCCATGGTGTGCTGGTGCTCGTGTCCTTCACGTGCACTCTTAGCGTACACTCAACTGTGTACTGGTCTGTAGCTGGGAGGTGACCTTGCTTCAGAGTAGGGGCACGTTGTGGTTTTCCCTGTGGTGCTCGGCATGTGTTGAGGGTCTGGGTGCTTTTGCTGGGCAGTAACCAAGCCATCCAAGTACTGGTATTTTTGTCTCCCACCTTTATCCATTACCTTCTCCCCCTGTTCATGGGGCTTGTGGCCAGAGTCTCCACTGGCAGTCTCCTGGAGAGACCAGTGACCTGATGAAGGTGCTACTGATCCCCCTCATATCTCTGGGGGTTCAATTAAGGTTGAAATCCCTACATCAAATGCTCTGGGCTTTAAACTCTTGAGTGTAGATCTAGTCCGTAACGCTCAGGAGAGGGTGATCTGCATCTGAGCTGAATATTTTGAGGAGCAGCTGTTTGGCTCTGGTCGAGGCAGTGGGGTCCTGTGAAAATGAGCTGCAGGATGTGGGAAAGAGCCTTTCCATGAGGGCAGAGGCCAGCCGGGAAAGGAAATGGGCAGATGGAGGAGCGCAGTGGCCAGGTTTTATTCTAGCACGTCCTGTAACAGCAGCAGTGATTTGCCTCGCTCTGCCCTGCACCAGCTTTAGAAAATCTTGCCTGGCTCCTGCGGAGTAAAAATACAAGCTGCAACCTGAGCGGGAAAGGATACCACAGGGAAAAGCCTCCAGCTCACGAGGGGAGGTTGAGATCTGCTCCTCCCCAAATCACTCAGTGACCGGTCTGCTCCGGGGGCTGGTGACAAGCTGGCGTGGGGGCAGCGAGGGGTGGCTCAGTGCAAGGGAGACGAGGAGGAGGGGAGGGCATCCAGCACGTGGGACACTGTCATTCTCTGCCTGACATTTGCCCGTCTCTATAACAAACAACAGGCTCTGGGGAGTGAGCAGGGCACGAAAATAGTAAGTGATTTGGAAGAGCAGTAAAGGTTTTAGCCATTATTTTCTCTGAAGCAGGTGAAACTTGGCCAGTCAGCAGCTCTGTGCCTCTAGACAAGCCCTAGTTGATGCTGTCCCTCACCTGGTAGGAGTGTCACACTGAATTAGCGGCAGGAGCGGGCGATGCAGAGGAGAGTGATGGGGAAACAGGGCCAAAAAAAAGGTAGGAATTTAGGCTTCATTAGCTGCATTAACCACAGAGCAACTTGTGGGTGGTGGGAGCTTCTGGGTGAGCAAAATGCTGCGTGAGGCGGCAGGATAATCGAGTTCAAGAGCAGCCACAGCCACCCTGCGCAGCCCTCACTTCCACCACTGCCTTTTGCAGCCCCAGTGAGCATCTCTGCATCCTTCTGGCACCACTGGTCGAAAGGGTCAAGCAGAGGATGAGGGTTTCCTTCCATCTGGCTTCTCTTCCCGTCTGTGCCACTGCCCCGGGGGCCTTGTTTGTCTCCCAGCTCGACGAACGGGTCAGGACAGGGACGTCTCTCCCTTTATGTTCACACAGTGGGGCGGCGCGGTGTGACCTCGACAGCCTTCTGGGTGCTATTGTTCCACCAATAACTATACATCAGCTCTGGAAATTTGTCCTGACATTTCTATGGTGCTTTCACTCAGCCACAGCATTGCATTGGGTCGACTTAACAGGGATGGCAGCTCATGCTGGTGGCTGCAGCGACTGCTTTTTTTATTTATGTGCCCTCAGAAATGTATTTTCCAATCCAGCAGGGCCGTTCCTCGTCCCGAGGAGGGCGTCCACTGTTCAAACCACCTGTTGCCAGAACAAAAGATGGAACAGAGAAACGTGGGCGCCGGCGGAGCCTTGCTTTTCAAACCTTTCTATTTTAGGAAGAGACTCTTCGTGTTTGCTTCAGTTTTAGCAAAAAAAAAAAAAAAAAAAAAAAATCAAATGCCAATTTGGTTTGTGTTTTAAATGTTTCACTGAAAACTGATGTCTCTCCTCTTGTCCCTTCCCCTCAGTGCTCCTCACTGCCGTGAACTGCTACAGCGTGAAAGCAGCCACTCGTGTCCAGGATGCCTTCGCGGCGGCAAAACTGCTGGCGCTGGCTCTGATCATCATTCTTGGCTTCGTGCAGCTTGCGAAGGGTGAGTATCTTCCCTTTTTCCTTTCGGAGGTGGTGCGCAGTTAAAGCAGAATCTGGGAATTAGGGGTAAAAGCCCAAGAGTCCTGACCCAAGCGTTTCAGAGCCAGCAGAAGTGCTTTACAAGCGTCTTTTGTTCTCGTGCGTCGCTTGGGTGGCATTTCCAGCTCACGCTTTGCAAAGAGCCGAGTGCTTTTGTGTATTTTATTTATGAGACTTTGTATTTACCTGGCTGAAGTGACGCTGGATTTCACGCTGCTGGAACCCAGCATATACCACCCAAGGTCTTTTCCACTTCATTCAGTCACTCTGCATCCTCTCACTTTGAGATGGCAGAGCTGCCAAGCCCACAGAGAATGAAAATTTTGGTGCTAGACATCTCAGAAGCCTTTTCTGTAACTGGTGTCTGGTCGTGGCCATTTCCTAGTAGAGAATTATCTGCTTGTCCAAACCAACCCCCAGTAATTTTCCTTCTTTCCCAAACTACCCCTGCACCTTTCCCTTCTTCCTGCTGCAGGTATGGAATAGCTTGGTGGGGTCCATGGGGTCAGACAGGGATGGCTGGGTCAGGTGAGGCTGCAGAAACCACATGATGAGCAGTTGATATTAGGGCTCTCAGCTGACCTGAGCACGCACGTCTGTCAACTAGCATCCAAAAAAGAAGATAAGAATGGGAAGATAAAGCAAATTTTCTGGTGGTTCTGCTTGTTCTCTTCACGCACACCTAAAATCCTCTCAAATGTAGGGAAATACTTTGTTCCAAACCCATCTGGCTAACTAATCCACATAGATAAGATTTACTGTGTGCTTTTTTTGTGCAAAAGTTTTGTGAAAATAAACTTCCCTTAGGGAACAGTACAGGCCTTATTTGTTAAATGTGGATAAAAGTCTATAGACAGTTTCTCCTCCCTCTGTACTGGCCAGTGTATGTTCGTGTGTGCACGTGGGTCTGCTTAATTCCTGTCTCGGCTATGGGAGCCAGTGCTGTCTTTGCAGAATTTCTTGCTTTATCAGAGGTTTTATTTTATTGCAGCTCAGCGCCTAAGCTCAACAGGAACATTGTTTGAGGCTTATCACAAAATATACCTCCTTCCTCTTTATATCTCCCCAGGCTGCTTTGCTGAACTTCTTTTCCTCTCTTAGAAGGAAAAGGATAAGTAAACATAAATCTCTGTTGGTTCTTCGACATTTTACCAGTAAAAGGTCATTACAGTTGTTTTTTGCTTGCAGGTAATGATCTTAATTTGCTTCTTCAGAATCACCTTCCCTCCCTCTGTACTGTTGTTTTTTTCTTTGGTTGAGGGTGAATCACTTTCTGCCCTGGTTCCTCAGGTATAAATACATGATATTTCCATTGACTTATACCTGTAACCAATACGAGATTTCAGTTTTGTGTACAAACCCCCCCGTCCTATACTCTGCTGTCTCTTCTTCACTCTCTTACCTCCTACGAAGCACAGTTTCAAGTTTTTGTAGGTCTGGAGAGGCACGACTATGACTTGTGTGCATCTTGCAGTATAGCTCATTTCGTGTGACATTGAGTTTCCTGCTAAGCCACCTGGCCACTGCAGGCAGAGTGAAAGGTAACAGGATCAAAAGCAGTAATTAAATGATAACATCTGAAGGGAAAGACCTTTTCTTCCCGTCTGGGCTCACAACACTCAACGTAGAGCAGGCTGGTTCAGAGTGGCAACCTTGGGATCTATAGAGGATGCTCCTCACAAAGCCCACGTTTACGCCTTGCCCTAAGTGACACACTGCTGCTTGCTTCTGTTTGACAACATACTGCCTGGGATTCTGCCTGTGGTCTAATGTGGATTTTCTTAATCTCCTTATGGAAGTTGCAAGCTCTCTCATAAGTCCTTAAGAACGTGCAAGCTCCTTTCATATGCCCTTCCTTAGCTTCCACATACGCCTTGCAACTTTCTCAACTTTTCTTTAAATCATGCCAGGTAACTTGGTGCTTTTACGTAGCAGGGATACATCAAGAAACCTTTTTTCCCCCTTCTTTTTCCTTCAAGGAAAATATACTAGCATCACTTAAAGCCTATTGAAAATGGGGAAACGCTGCACTATTCTGTCTTGTCTCGGACAAGAAATGATGGGTGCAAGCTGAGGCAAGGGAAATTTAAATTAGCCATTAGAAAAACACTTTTAACTGTAATGCAGAGCTCAAGTAGGTTGTCTAGGGAGGCTTCCTCACTGGAGAGTCAGAAGAACAGGTTAATAAATGCCTCCCAGGAATGGTTTAAGTGAGACAAACCTGCCTTGGACCAAGGCTTCCTGGAAGCCACCGTGTCCGTGCTCTGTGGGGCTGGGCTGTGTTGTAGTGGGACAGTACAGAGTTCCTGGATCTTCTCCAGGCAAAATACTACAGCCCCAGTCTTTTTAAGTGTGCTGACCGAGGCTTTTACGTGGGTAACTGTTTTCTAAAAGGCTGTTTAACCTCTGAGTAGGTGGGTGATCCTGGGTCCCACACGTAACCGCAGTGCCCTGCCTTTACTGCTCCTCTGGGTGCCCTTGTTTTGTTTTCTTTTGTACCAGTTCCAACCCTTTTTGGACAAAAAGGACTCCTACCACCACTTTCTCGGTAAATTCAGCCTTTATTGGGGTGGAATATACCCCAAGTTGGTTTGTCTGGGGCTGGGGTTTCAGTGGTGAAGGGATTGTGTGTTCCCATGGCACTCCAGAGAGTGTCTGGGCAGTGCTGATTAACTGGCTTTAATGGTTACTGTCCCATTGCTGGTTCATGTTTACAGTATCCATAAACAGAGAAGAGGAGCAACACCACAGTCTCTTACTCAAATGTGGGAACTTCCGAGACTTCACAGAAGCGTCTTTCCCCGTATTGACCTCCCGCCTTCAGCTTTGGGCTTTTTTTTTCTTTTTATCCTTTCATTGGACATTTTCGTTATTTTCAGAAAAGCAGCAACATCTCAAGACAAAGAAATATGTGGCAATATTACCGCACACAGAAAGTAGCGTTTCCTTGTGATCTGTCTCTGGACAGCTGGTTTGCATCACTTCTTTCATGAAACTTCAAAAGGAGGGTAGGAGTTGGTTTCCTACTCAGACAGCCCTTCAACTGCTCGAAAGTTGGCTCAGTCTAGTGACCCGCTTGGGATGCAATTATTTTACTAATACAAAAGTGACACTTTCAAAAGCCTTTGTGGGGCTATGGTTGTGTTGCTTTAAAAGTTCAGCATCCTGGACTTAGTATATTAGTGTGTAAAACCTTATATATGGACCCCCAACTGTACAGCCCACCAGCCTGTAGGACTTAGGTAGTATAAATAACTTATAGCATAGACAGGATCAGGATTTTTTCACTCCACTGTTATAAAAACTAGGTTTATCTTTAGTTCTGCTGTTTTACCAGCTCTGAGAAATTGCTTTCCCTCCTGCCAAAAATGATATTTCTGGGCCATATTCATGACCTGGTGAAAGGGATGCCTGGGACTAGATAGTGCAGCCAGTTTGGGGCTGTGGCTGCACAGGTTTAAGGGATGTTTTCTGCACTGGGTGTGACAGAGAGGTCTGTGGTGAGACCTGCAGCTGTGCTCTTCCTACCCGACCACCCCGCACCTCACAGTGCCTTAAAAAATAACCCAGGCATGAAACGGTAAAAAAAATATGCTGATCTTTAAGGACACACTTATGCTTTTTACGTGCAAGGAAATTCAGGAAAGGTTTCAGTGTAAAAAAATTATAAAAAAAACCCCATATTACAGGCATGTTTCAGATATATTATTTTCTGTTGCTGATGTCCTGGGGTTTCTGTAAATGTTTATCTGCCCTTGGGTGGCTGGAGCAGCGAGGTGCTGTTCCTGGCTGCTGTGTGTTCAGGGAACGCTGCGGTGCCGGGCTCCAGCCCTCGCTGCCATTCCTCACCTGCACTTCTGCTTAATAGAAGAAAAAAAAAAGAAAAAGAAAAAAGAATTGGGCACTTGGGACTTGGAGAAATAGAATTTAACGCCCGCTTTATTGAATTATTTTTATTGAATTTATTGTCCCTTTTCCCTCTTAATGCCTGATTTCTAATCTTAAATTTCTGGCCCGCGGTGCCTCGGGTGCTGGTTTGATGGCAGCAGCATTATTCTAACTCCCTTCATTGGGCTTGTCAGAGATCCAGTGGTGTTGCATCTGCTGAATGAGCACGGGGTGAATTAAGGACAAAATAGGCAGGTTTCACTCCAGACATTTGCCACGGAGAACTTAAACTAGGCAGAGAGGTTTGGTTTTAATCTTTTTTTTTTTTTTTTTTCTTTAGATAAATGTGTACAGCATCACCCAGCACTGGCAGCCCCCCACCCCAATATCATTTGCTCTTTGTAAAAAGGTATTTAGAGGTGTCGTTGTGGCTGGCAAATTCTGAACTCCACATGGGCAGGGTTTCTGAAAGGGCCGAAATGAAAATTGAAACCTTCAGTCATTAATTTGTGCTTAGCATGTCTGCGGAGCCTCCTAAAAATATTACCTAAGTACTCCAGGTGCGAGGCAACCCCTTGGTGCTGTGGGGGTGTGAGCACATCTGGGTACTGCTTTCAGTTATCAGATCCCTTTGTCTTTGGCCAGAAAACTGCCGTTTGGTCTCTGTCTTTCTCTGTGAGGGTTGCTTTGGTAGTTCTCTGTCAAAACAGTTTTGTTTGCCTTTTTTGTTTTTCTGAAAAATTGAAAAATCCTGTGATTAAGAAAGACCTGAGGCGGAGGGGGGGGAGTTTACTCACTCTTCCTTTCCTCCCAGATTTTCTTCTCTGCTGCCATTGGCAACGTCAGTTGAACATCTCAAAAAAAGCCCCTTGAGCCAGATGTGGAGCGGGATGAGCTGCGGGAGAGGCAAAGGCAAGGATACAGCTGTGAGCCTGGGGAGGGCAGGGCTGCTCCAGAGGGCTCTGGCTGATGGGGCAGGAAAACTTAATTTTGTGGCTGGTAATTACAGTCTGAGGCTCCCTCAGGTCTCAAAACACAATGGCACATGGACACTAAGAGGAAACAAGAGCAGTG